TTATTGTGGAAAATAATGTATTGTTGATTTCTGTGGCAAGTTGTAATATTTGAGCACTTGAGGTGCAATTTATGAGATATTGTGATGTTTGAGCACTTGATATGCAATTTGTGATATGTTGTGATAATTGAACACTTGAGGTGTAATTTATAATAAGTTGCGATATTTGAGCACTTGAGGTGCAAGTTGTGTTATGTTGTGATATTTGGGCACTTGAGGTGCAAGTTGTGTTATGCTGTGATATTTGGGCACTTGAGGTACGATTTGTGAAATATTGTAATATTGATACGCATGCGGTGATATAAGGTCAGGGTGTTGAAACGCATGCGGTGAGATAAGGTGGGATTGATGCGCGTGGCTAGTAGGGAAACTACTAGAAGTCATGCGATGTGATAAGGTGGGCTAAAACGCGGGATGTTATTTCTGAAAAATAATTTTTAAAAACTAAATGTGAAGGCTCCCGCGGTGATATAAGAAAATATTGAAATTTATTTATGATTTGGGAGTACGAGGCGGTACCTCGGGAGTGCCCTTTGTTGATATTTCTCTATGGCTACACTTGCCTTTGGTTCTTATGTTTTTTCGTGATATGTAAATTTTTGTGTTCTTCCGTAATGTATTATTTGATTTTATTATGTCTTTTGTATTCCTTTTTGTATTGTGTTGGTTTTGGCTCTTTGTACAAGACTCTGAGGATTTGTGTTTCTGGTTTTTAATGGTTTTCGAAGTTTGAGTTGTTTTGAATAAAAGAAATTGCTATTATGTTTTANGAAAGAGTTTATTTGAAAGAATTATATTTGAAAGATTTTATTTGAAGAATTATATTCGAAAGATCTTTATTTGAAAGAATTATATTCGAAAGATATTTATTTGAAAGAATTATATTTGTAAGATACTTATTTGAAAGGATTATATTCTAAAGATTTCTATTCGAAAAACTTGTAGATAAAAGATGTATATTTTGAAAGACTTGATTAATTGGTTGTGCTTTTGTTCATTATTCGCTTGGGCAATATTTATGGTGTTCTTGCTGCCTTACTGTTTATATCACTAGTTGATTGTTGTTTCTATCATTGCTATTTAATTTCTATTATTTTTGTATGCTGTATTGCACAGGTTAATTGACTAGTGAGTGTCTTGACTGTACCTCGTCACTACTCCACCGAGGTTAGTCTTGATACTTATTAGGTACCGACTGTGGTGTACTCATATTACACTTCTGCATATTTTTGTGCAAAGTCAGATATTGAAGATATCGGACTCGGACAGAGTTAGTATGTTGAATGTAAGGATTCAAGGTAGAGTTGCTTAGCCGTCGCAGTCCCTGGGAGTCTTTCCATTTTTTATTGTACTGTCATCTCTTATTCGAACAATATTTTATATTCGATCCTTGAGATCATTGCATGTATCCGGTTAGAGTTCGTGACTCAGTATTACCAGTCTTGGGAGGTTGTTATAATTATTTTCGTTGTTGGTTTCGACACTTGTATTAAATTAAAAAATGGCTCGAAATGTAATTGTAATCGTCTTGCCTAGTCTTAGAGACTAAGTGCCATCACGGCGCCTGAGGTGGGATTTTGGGTCGCTGACCCAAAGTACTCACGATCGGTAGAGAATACTTAGGCGAAATTGTAGGAGACGTAGCGGGAAGGATTCCGACAATTGGAGAAATCATAACTTAGTCTCCAACCCTTACTATCTTTAGTTTTTAATTTACTTCTTTAATTTGTTAGTTAATTAGTTAGACATAAGAATCTTAATATTTATAACTTAGCAATTGTTTGAGCTTGTCTTCTTAGTGATATTGTACAGTTATAGTGAAATCTTAATTCTATATGGGATTCGACTCCGAACTTTTAGACCGGATTATATTTGCAGCGACCACTTATACTTTTTAGGACTAGAGTTGAGCGTGATTAGAAGGAAAATATTATCATAATTTTTAAGTTCTATTAACACTATTGGTTAAAAAAAGAAAGAAATTAGAGGGAGAATAAGTTGAGATGCCAGAGAAGTTTAACCCTTAATTAGTCAAATAAGAAAATGTATAAAAGAGGCTTCACGTCCACCAGAAATTCTTGAATTCATCCAAAGGAGGAAATAGGGAATAAATTGATAACTTTCGTAGGAGGGAATTAATGTTGAATATATTTAAAAGATAAAAAAACGAGAGCGTTAAAATTAATCCTTTCAATTTGTACAAAATATTTAAAATTCCAATGCAACGTAGTTATGTGAATTAGTAAAAATGCTCCATACATTGAATCAATTTTTTGGATATTGGACAATTTGATAAGATGACGAATATTAAGGACGAGTAATAATGTTTCACATTTGTCAATCGACCAAACTTTAGATCGGTCAATTGGTTGGTTGTTTGAGTCTCAAATTTGAGTTGCGTCTCCATATATAAGAGTTGTGTAAGTGTAGAATTTAAGAGAATTATGAAATATAGGACAAAATAACTTATTGGGTTTGGAAATATTTTACTTATACATATTAAATAAATTTTTTAACACAAATATAAAGTGTGAGTCGAAGCTATTAGGTTCTGCCAAGCCAGGAGCGGCCTGATGGTAAGGCAACTCAAGCAACTGCTTGAGGCCCTATATCTATAGGGGCCCAAAATTTTCTAATATTAAATAGGTGCATATGATAATTTTTTTTAAAAAATATCTAGTATATCAAAGAAAAAGTGCTTTTTTCATGAAAAAGAAAATAAGAGATAATTTGGTAATAGAAATAGTTACTTTTGGGATTCAGTCCTAAACTTTAGGTGTGAATATGTTTCTTGCCTCCTTTATACACTATCATCATTATCATTCGGCCCATATTACTTTGATTACTTTATCTTTCTTTACAAGTCCACTTTCTCATAAAATACTCCGTCAAGTAAGATAACAAAAGGAAATTGTAACCCTTTTTTGTCAAGCTTTCTTGACATTGCACCAAAAATATTGAAGCAGCAAAAGTAACATCAAGTTATCTATGACTGTTTGTTAAACCAGGTTCAATTGTTCCGTACTTTTCTTGTTACTTTGCATCTAGAATTTGTTATTTTTTTTATATCTTTTGTTTGTAAGTATATGTATCATCTTTTTATTTATTTATTATGAATTTTAATATGTCAACAAGAAAATATGAATCCGCATATTAAAAATGCCAAAAAATGAAAGAATTGAAACTTTAATACAATCCAAAAAAAAAACGCTTGATAAATTTTTAGCGAACAATAAAAATTTTAAATAAAAAAATAGGCAAAATTTTGTGGTAGATGAACAAATCACTAATATAGTTGAGCTAGACGATAATTGAATGCAAGAAGAAGAAGAAATTGGTGAGTCATAGATTTTTTAGAAAATCAGAAAATCCTAAAAGAATTGAATAATAATCCTAGAAAGTGGAAACATATATAATCCTAGTTAAGAAATCGATTATAAATAAATTATTAATAATTTTACATCTCAAAAAACTAGAAAAATAAACTTTAAATAAAATCTTACTAAATGAGTTTTTTAATACCGAAAAACTTAGGGGGCCTCATTGAAGTTTGACTTTAGGCCCCAAACACCGTTGGACCGCCCCAGTGCCAAGCCATAGCCAAACTTATTGTTTCCTTCCTGTAATGTTGATAAAAGATGCGAATTAATAGGATACGCAAAAGAAGACTAGAAAATTGATTTTATGTTACTACTTACAGGTAAACAGTTTTATCTTTGAAAAGAAGCATTCTTATATTAAGTAAAAAACCAAATATAAAGTTCCTCCTCACATAGTCCAAATGTACATATTATCATTTGTAAACAACAAATAACGTAGCCGAAACTTGTTTTGCCTCGTATGGCAAACTTGAAGGACTATCCAATGTACCAAAATTCCCAGTTTTCACATTAAATTAGTTAAGAGAATTAGGAAAGAAGCCGTATCTAGTGCATGAAACTAGAAGTTATGCCGTTTAAGAGAAAAAGTATTTTTGTCGCAGTGCATGCATGCAGTATTTCATATCGTGAAGTACAGGTTCAGCCAATTTTGAATCAGACTTTCCAACTCTGTTAAGGCATTCAACAAAGCAAAAAAAAGACCTCACGTTGCTTTACCTGTTTCTAGCACTTGCAGAATAACTTTTTTTTAAAAAAATTGTCGTGTCCCAGAAAGTTTTCGCGCACCTTAATTGCTACCTTCCACTTGCACAGATATCGAGTAATTCGTTCATCAAGTAGCACAAAGTTGTATCAATTTATTATCATCAGGGGCGGAGCCACAATATTGGTTACGGGTTCGGCAAACCTAGTAGTTTTTGTTCAAATTCTATATTTGTATTAAAAAATTCAATGAATATGTACAAATTCTTAATTTATAATCCAATACCTTAAAAGGATTATAATTCTGTTTAAATCCTAGCCCCGTCTCTGATTATCATAATAAGACTTTTAATTGTTTTGAGTTATATTTGTAGCTATTGGTTGAAAGGTTTTACCTTCGAGCCCAAATTAATATTTAATTTGTATTATTTTCATATTATTGATGTAATTTACATATAAGTTTTTGAAAAGAAAATATTGTTTGTACATATAAAATCTTTGTTTTTTTGTGAAGGGTCGTGGAATGACTGTATCTAATGAATTTCTCCTTGTGATTATTACTACGTCTTTCTACTTGTCGCTTAGCCCCACTTTGCCACTATGGTTGGTCTGGAATGTTGAAATTGCAAAATGTTAGAAAGTCAGCAAAAAGTGTTTTCTATGGAGTAGTAGTATATTTTTCATTTGTTCCTCGTGCGTTGACTGACTCCTTCTAGTCCAAACTTTGACCAAAAAATCAAACGAAAAGACAATAAAACAAAAGCAACAATAATTAAATAAGTAGTATAGTACGTATATCTAGAAATTGATTATTTTCTGGTACATCTTCCTTTGCTTTGTCCACTCAAACAATTCATGCATATATATATATATTAGCCGCTTTCTTTTACCACCTCTCGTCAGAAAAGAAAAAAAAAACTCTGTTTCTCTTTTTTTTTTCTTTCTATTATATATAGTTAGATTCTTGTTGTTGATTTTCATATAGAAAAAATGGAAGAAGTAGAGATACCCCAATATTTCTTGTGTCCTATATCACTACAAATCATGAAAGATCCTGTTACAACAGTCACTGGAATTACTTACGACCGTCAAAGTATTGAACAATGGTTGTTGATGGCAGACAAAAATACAACTACATGTCCAGTGACAAAACAATCTTTGCCTAGAGATATCGAGTTGTTGACACCAAATCATATGCTCGGGCGATTGATCCGATCCTGGACCATTGGCAATGCTGAGAATGGGATTGAGCAAATACCATCGCCCAAATATCCTATGAACAAATCACATGTCATCAGGCTAATTCGCCAGGTGAATAATCGCGAGCTTTATGTAGAAGCGTTAAGGAAAATGGGTAACATGGTCAGTGAGAACGAGAAAAATAAGAAGTGTTTGAATGAAGCTGGTGTAATTAAGGCCATGGTTTGTTTCATATTGAGGAGTTTTAAGGAAGGAAAATTAATTGTGGGAATTGAAGAAGCTTTGAGGATTTTCCATCTTGTTTGGAGCCCAACACATGATAACAAGCAAGTTGTCAAGGAAAATCATGATCTAATTGAAGCTATTTTATGGATTTTGAAGAGAGAAATGATCAACAACAACAACAATCAAGTTGTAATAATCAAGAGTACTCATGCAATTATGGTCCTGAAAAATGTGATCTCAGTATCAAGTTCAAATCTATTATCGAGTCTAACACCCGAATTTTTCCAAGAAATGTTGAATATTTTGCGCAAAAACAGCAAAACTAAGGTGTCTCAACAAGCTACAAAAGCAGCTTTACATGTGCTAATAGATGCATGTTCAAGAGGAAGAAACAGGCTTAAAATGATAGAATTGGGGGCTATTTTCGAGCTAATTGAACTCGAATTAAGCAACAATGAGAAAAGGGTAACTGAATTAGTGTTCTGTCTTTTGTTACATTTGTGTAGTTTGGCTGATGGGAGAGCAGAATTACTTAAACATGCAGCTGGAATTGTAGTGGTTTCTAAAAGGATACTTAGGATATCTTCAGCTACAGATGATAGTGCAATTCAGATTCTTGGATTGATTTCTAAATTTTCTGCTACAAAAGAAGTGCTAATAGAGATGTTAAGAGTTGGGGCTGTCTCAAAACTTTGCATGGTGATTCAAGCTGATTGTAAAGCCTTTATAAAGAAAAAAGCTATGGAAATTTTAAGGGCACATTCTAATGTTTGGAGCAATTCTCCTTGTGTACAAATTTATCTACTCACAAGATATCCTGGACAATAGAGCTTTAGAATCAATTCAACACACTTCTAAATTTCAATTCTTTTGTTATGATATATGTACAAATTGTAGCAACAACAAATTAACCTTTTTATTCTGCAAAACAATATGCAAAATACATACATTGAAACCCCATACAAATATGAAGAAATTAAATGCTTCACTTGCCTTTTTAGTTATTTAACTGCATCCAACAACATTAAATTTTTTCCTTCTTTTTTTAATTAAATTCTTACTAGTAAAAGTACAATCACTAAATTCCTGAAAACTCGAAAATTTGTTATTAAATTGCCACAAGGTTTGCTGATAATTTCTAGCTCATCTAGTGATGATTTCACTATTGCATGGATCTTTTTTTTTCTTCTTCTTCTGATTTTGTGTTAGCCAGCAAGTATAGGTGCACCATAACGCTGAAATAGCTGATGTAAAACGATCAAGACTTTTTCTTTCCTTTTTAATTTTTTTGTTTGTTTTTATTATTGCTAAAGACTTGTAATAAAGGACAAATCAATTCTTAGCAAATTAGCAGTACTGTACTTCACTTCTATATTCAACCTTCATTTTTTCCTAACAACTGAACATCTCCGTTTATATTCACAATAATATTTTCCCCTACATTCTCATTTTGTTTTCTTGTGCGATATCAATGCAACATTAAAAATTATTACTATAACTTTTTGAGTTCTCAAAGCATTTATATTAAAGTTTATTATTTTGATATCCTATTATATACGAGTTTATAAAAAAGAATTTGCGCTATGTTATTCATTAACATTCCAATGCCTTTATCTTCTATATAACCGTGTAAGCTAATCGTCAATGAAAAATATCATTTCTATATTTATAATAAAAAACAAATGTTAAACTTTAGTATTAGGACATAAATTACTAGGAGTATACAACCGATTAAGTACGATATGAAAGATTTAATGAAATTTTATTAACGAAATAAATTGAATCTGTTTCACCAGAACTCCGATCACGACGAACAAGCTGAAAAAGCTCATCTAATTAACAAATCAAAGACTTTTTCTTTTTTGGGGTTAAATATCCAAAGACTTACCTCAAAAGAGAAAACAACAAATCAAATAGTAGCAAAGCCGTCTAGGCATATTAACTTTTTCACCTCACAATACCTTCTTTATCCATTCTCTTTCATTTTTCCTCACTGAAACAAGACTCAATATAACAAGTTTTGCTACCCAAAACTTCCCAAGAAAAGGGAAACTTTTTTTACATGAACATGCACCATTTTACAGGTCATAGTTCTGGCCTAAACACATTATTCTACCTAATCATTTTCCTTATTCTCTTCAATGCATCCACCACTTATCAAATATCTAATTCTAGTCATGATCATTTGGGTGTCGCTGATATCGAATACACTAACCGTAGAAAGCTCTTATCCTACAATGGTGATATTCTTGCCATCAATCCATCACTCAATTTTGAGAATTTTAGGCTAAAGAATGCATACATTGCGTTACAAGCTTGGAAAGAAGCCATTCTCTCTGATCCTCACAATATAACCTCGAATTGGATAGGATCTAATGTGTGTAACTACACTGGAGTTTTCTGTTGGCCTTCTCTTGATGAGCCCTCTGAACTTACAATTGCTGGTATCGATATCAACCATGGCGATATAGCTGGTACTCTTCCACATGAATTAGGCCTGTTATATGATATTGCATTGTTTCATATAAACTCAAATAGGTTTTGTGGTACTATCCCTGAGAGTTTCTTGAATTTGAAGCTCCTTTTTGAGTTAGATGTTAGTAATAATCGGTTCGTTGGCAAGTTTCCTGATGTGGTTGTCCAATTGCCTAACTTGAGGTTTCTTGATTTGAGGTTCAATGAGTTTGAAGGTGAGCTACCAAGGCAAGTTTTTGAAAGGAGTTTTGATGCTTTGTTTATTAACAATAACAGATTTTCTTCTGAGTTGCCTGATAACTTTGGGAATTCGCCTGTTTCTGTCATGGTTTTGGCAAACAACAAGTTTCAAGGATGTATACCGGTTAGTTTGGGGAAAATGGCTAAAACATTGAATGAATTGCTTCTTATAAATAACAATTTCCATTCGTGTTTGCCTAATGAGATTGGAATGCTGAAGAACTTGACAGTTTTGGATTTGAGTTATAATCAAATTGTTGGTACTTTACCTGAGAGTATTGGAAATATGGAGAGTTTGGAGCAGTTGAATTTGGGTCATAATATGTTGTCTGGGAAGATATCTGACAACATATGTAGACTTCCAAATTTGAAGAAGTTTGTCTATGACAACAACTACTTTTCACAAGAGAGTCCAGCTTGTCTAAATCTGAATGCATTTGCTGATCAACAGAATTGTCTTAGAGGAAGGCCTATGCAAAGACCTACATTGGATTGCCAGAGATTTTTGTCTAAAAAAGTTGATTGTAACACTTTCAAATGTGCATTACCACCTCCATTACCTACCCCTCTACCAACCAATTGTTGTTCTTGTTCTCCTCCACCACAACCATCTCCAGCCACACCATCTCCTCTCCCATCGCCACCACTGCCATCACCATCTCCACCGCCACGTACTGTGCCACCATCATCTCCACCACCACCACCTCCAACATTGTCACCTCCGCCACCTCCAACTCCTTGCAATGCTAGTCCACCTCCGCCGCCACCTTCTCCACCCCCACCAACTCAAATCTCTTCTTCACCTCCGCCACCAAACATTCCAACATCACCACCTTCACCTCCACCATGTGCAGAACAGGCAGTACCACCAAGTCAAGATATGTCTCCTTTACCTTGAAGCGTAATATGATCACACGTTACTCTTCATGGTGTCATCTTCTCTATATTACATCATCTTCCTCACAGAATGGAAGTTCAAATCATACTTCATTACAGGAACATCTGCACTACAGTTTTGTTAGAGAACCATGCAGAAGGAGCTGTGAATTGAGCCTTATTTTTTTTGTAGGACTAGTGTAGAAGAGATTCTAGATGAAACGATTATTCAAGTTATCTAACTTGTCTCCAGAATTCTTAATAAAACGTTGAACATGTTGCGTGAATTGTTGGTATAAACTAGTTTTTCTCCTGAAAAAACATCATTATAGTTGATCACAAAAAGGGGACTAGCTCCTTTTTTCCAAAAAGAATTCAAGAACATCTCTGAGGTTACACTGCTCATTTATTTCAATGCTTTCACTATTTACTTAGTTTTGCTCTTTCATAATCAATGTGTTCTATATGTGCAATTCACTTAGAGGAATAATCAAATAGAAATATCTCTAATTGCATGACAGTAGTGTAACTTGGACTGTCATCACTTAACTTCCAATATGAACAAATTCTCATCAATCAGCTTAAATAACAAACATTTCCTACCTGCAAAGCATTATCATCAACATATTTCCTCCACCCTTTCTGAAGTTGAAGTCTTAGCAATTTTTTAGAACTAAAACAGACCAGCTAGCACCATGAGTTCAAATGGCTGACTCCTCTTCACATATCTTTTGCCTAATGCAGCCGGTATTCTGCAGAGGTACAAACAAACATTCTCAAGCGCAATACACTCATAATCAAGTGATCAATAGCAAAAGTTATGAATCGAAAAGACTCCAAGTAGTAGACAAACTTCTCTTCAACAATTAAATTACTTTGAAGTGTGTCATTTCATCAATACGATTCACTTAGTTCATGTTACTGTAAAGGCACTACTAAGAATGGATTAACCGTCTGCTGATCGAATACAGTGCAGATGATTGAGTTTTACACTGTTTTTGTGGAGGTAAAACGTCTTCTTCTAATCAGCAACTAGATTACTGAAACACCAAGAGTCAGAGAGAATAATTTATACTAAATCTTAGATATTACATACCTCTTTAAGTGGATTTAAATAGAGTCAAAGAAATCCACTTAACACTATAGGTTATCCATTGTTTTCCNCCTTTGTCTATGTTAATTTGTTTCCCTTTAATACTTAGGAGTTAGGAGACATGAATCACTCAATAATGTTTTGAAGTATTTGTAGAGATACAACTCTATCAAGTCTAAACTTGGTCAATTCACCATTATTGATCCATGAAAAGCAATTTACTGATACGACATTTACGAAGATTGTGCGAAATACAATAGCGATATAGCAGCGACAACATATTGGCAAACAATAACTTTGAACTCAAAATCACTAATCTAATACAACTCACAATTATTGCAGTAACCAAAGTAAATTACGAGAAGTTGCACAACAATGGAGTTAATGAAGTCTTATTTAAATTGGGTGGGCTGATTAAATTATCTTAAATAGGTGACCATATTTAAATTGGAAGAAAAAGAAATCCACATAGGCGCCATGTAGGAAAACAAAGGTGGGACATGGCGATCTAACAGATGAGGGGCAAATATGATCCTAAAGTATAATTGTAAGGATAAATTTGTTAAAAAAGTATAACGAAAGGCAAATATAACCCTTTTGAAGAATACAGGGACAAATATGATCCTAAAGTATAAAGATAAGGATAATTATATCTAAAAATTATAACGAAGGACAAATATAACCTTTTTAAAGAGTACAGAGACAACTATGACCCTTAACCGAACTTCAAATTATGAACCTCATCTACTCAAAAAGCCAAGAACTTCGCTTGGTCGAAGTCTTCATATCATCCCTTTTAGTCAACAATTTATACTCTAAGGGGTCATTTGGCAGGATGCATTAGGTAAAATAATGCATGCATTAGCTTTGTGTATTAGTAATACTTTGTTTGGTACACTTTTTGAACTTATGCATTAGTTATGCAAGCATTAGTTATACACCCTATTTGGTATTATCCTATGCATAACTAATGCATAAGAAACCATAGTATTAACAATGCAATGTGTTTTAATGCATGCATTAACTTAGTTAAAGATAAAAATATCCTTTAAAATTATACTTTGTTAAAATATTCTATTATATAATGCAAGTTTGAAATAATCCAAGAAAGTGAGAAATAAAATTATATCCCTAGAAAATAAATAAATACTTAGCATATTTTCTTTTTTATAAATAAATATTAAGTTCTATACTATAATATAGGTAGACAAATCAAATAATTTGTTTAAACCTTTTTCATATGCAAACATTCCTCAACATATGTTTCTTTAAAAAGATAAAGAGAT